ATATTATGGACTAGTTAAAGTTAGATATTAACACCGCTAAATGCCCATCCAATAGTTTAAAGGTTAAGCGTTCTCGCTTGAGACAAAGTCCAGGGTTTGAACCCCAAGAACTGGGTCGTAGATGCACATTGCTGAGGAGTCCCATGCCAAGATGAAACGGTCGTCCAGTGCTTCCAGGTTTTCGATGGTGGTCTAACATCAATCTATTCATGATATTAATCTAAACTCAGCAATCTTCACAACCCTATACTGATAATACGGGAATAGTTAAATTGAAAGAAAAATCCCCAGCTGAAATGCATTCTTGTTAACATTCAGAGTTATCATTTCAAGAAAATACTATTCCATTTAATGATTCTAAGATGTTTTTTATGCTTCTATCACATCTAATACAAATCCAATTATGAAACAATCTAGCACACTATTATTTCTTCACCAATTATTGATTTACTTTTATGAATGATCTCGTTAGGATCCTACTGTTTATACGAACGAAAGTGATGTAACTAATTTAAAGCCCACAAATGGGCCAGTAACATAAGACAACACAATTGAATAACAGATAACGTTATTCCAAATCAATAAAATAAGACGTTAGGCTATGTTTGGAGAAATTATCCATGAGTGATGTCGAATAACTGTTTTGTCGTACTGTGAGCTGATTAATGGATTCCCTCTCAATATTTCAAGGGTAATAAATATATCTTAAGACTTGAAGATCTTGAACATGTTTCTGTGTTGACTTATAGGTATGTATTAGTGAGAAGTAAATAGAAATGAAACAACTGTTCAATACTATCTGATTTTAAACGCCTCCTCACTTGATATCTATCTGTGACAAAAACTATCTTCAGATTGTACTAATCTTCGAGATCCTTTCAATCTTGAAAACAGTTGAAATGGAAACGAATGAAAATAGATAAATTTGCAGAAACTCTACAAAAATGTCCATTATGGTAAACTGATTACAGACAAAACGAAATTGCTATATATTGTCTACATTTCCAACCCTAAAAATCTGCAAAGAATGTCTTTATTAGGGATATGTTATCAATTACATTTTTTTCTTTTGAATGTTGGTAAGAAATACATCTGAGTTTTTTAAATACTTTTTAGATCTATCCACTATCGCTAAAATGTAATGATTAAAGTACAGACAGCTGATGCTACCTACTGTGTCGGCAGTTGTTCATTAAGTCTGAAATTTTAGAACTTGAAAACAATGAATATTCATATTTACTAAAGTGGTTGTGGTAACATTTTGTACTAATTAAAAGTAAATTTATATTAGTAACTATATTTAACTGAAAAAACTATTGAAAATTGCTTTCAAATGGCGCAAAATCTCTCTCGACACGCACATACAGTCAAATAACTAGTTTTGAGAAAAAGCATTCTAGTGGTTGAAGCATTCAACATACAACGAGCAGGTCAAAAGTTTGGACAACATTTGACCTACTTCAATTAGGGCAATTGGATAGTCTAATTATCTCTCAGATATACAAAAGTAGCTAGAGACGAACCTTTCGACGCGATAATTTCTTCATTAAGACAGAAATACATAATTCCTTTCTACTTTAAAGAAAAGTCGTATCATTTTATTTCACCAAAAGTAACCATGTACAACATCATTTACAGATGACAATGTCTTTTTGTCTCTTTTTTAGTGAATTCCATTGTCAAGAATTCTAACGAAATACATTTTATGATACACTACAACCTTTTAGAAGAACCATTAGTTATACATTTTAGGATACTATGACAAACGTGTAAGCTTTAGAAATGTTATAAAGATTTTAGGTTACGAGAGGTTCGATTGTTTCTTAAATCGGTGAAATGTTCGTTTGTAGATTAAATATGGTTTAAAGTTTTCCCATTAATGTTTTTATGCAAAATAACAATAAATGAAATCCTAGAATTCTTTATCCAATAATTAAGATTGTAAATTAATGATATAAACTTAAATTATTCTTTGTATTTAAGTAGTTTACTGAAATATGGTTAACATAAATTTAATGAATCATTTATTGTATATTTTAAAATGGTCTCATTTCAGTTCACTGTAACATCTGATGTTTATTCATGAGTTCAATCATTTACATTTTTCTTCAGTCACCTACAATAGATCACACGATGATGTAACTAATAATCAATAACTTGATATCGCAATTCATTTATTAACTCATGATAAATATGTGTATCATAGAAAGACATTTGACGCCAAATAAATTAAGTACTCAATGTTTGTGTAAATTTTGTTCAATGATAAGTTTACTTTGCTAAAGTAAAGTTTATAAAGACAGTCAGTAAATTCACTTGGTATTGTTTGTTTGCACATATGCTAATAAATGATTGATCAATTACAGTCCTAAACATCAACGGGAATATTCAAACAAACAGTACTAAGTAATTTTTTTATTGAGATCATGAACCGATTGATGTTAGACCACCACTGAAAACCTGCAAGCACTGGACGGCCGTTTCGTCCTGTTGTGGGACTCCTCAGCAGTGCGCATCCACGACCCCGCTCGCGGACGAGTGCCTAACCTCTAGACCACTGAGTCGACATCCAACGACGTTAATGTCTAACTTCAACCAATCCATGAAACTGCGCCACTGTACACTATTGTCTTCAGTAAGTTGATATCTCACAGCAGACTTGGTTGAACTCCAATGGTCACAGCTTCCCACTAGAACTCTAGGAAATATGTCAATAAGTTTTGTCTATGTAGTTTAGGTGTTAGAGTAAAACTAAGCAATCACATAATGCAACTTAATTTCTGTTGAATAAATGACTAGTACTGGTATATGATGTAAAGAATTATGAAACAATAATAATAGTGGTGACCTGTTCAGTTTTATTACATATTTAACATATTAAATAATTTTTAAAATACTTTTTAATTCATTCACTGTTCTTAAGTTGAAAAAAATGTCATGAATTCTATGCATACTATAGTATCTAATTTACATTTTAGTCGTTATAAACCTTTATTCTTTTACATAATGATGATTTGTCCAAAATTTATTCTTCAACTGAAATTTAGACATGTTCAATTCATTGATGAGTTGATTTTGAAGTCAAATTTATTCTATGTATGTAAATTTGTTCATCTTTTTATATATGTGTATATACTTGGACTCATGTTTCAGTTCAATGGTATAGTAAACAATGGCTTTATACATAAAGTATCTTTATTTTTATATATATAAAGAATTCAACATTTATACCTCTTATTAAATATATTCATGATTGATTCAGTGTAAGGAACTAAGTAACTAATTTTCCATTGAGGAATGATGTAATAATGACAAGTTAAAGAGTATATGATGATTTCTATTGTTTTTCAGTTGTTTTTGTTGTTGTTATGGTATTGATATGAAAAGAAATTTTAATGACAGATAAATTGAATGTGTTGTCTTGCTAAATGGTAGAAAATTCATGCTATGTGCAATTGTTTGATTATAAGTGAAAATAATATGACTCACTAAACACTATCATACTAATTTCTTGCACTATAAAGTATGACAAAGCGTGTGAAAGCATATGTTGCTATACATCTTCTCAAATCCTCGTAAGAAGTTGATGGTTTCTTGAACTTGTAACCCACCAATTGAAAGTGAAATATTTAAACTGACCAGTCACATTCATTCTATCTGGGATTTGACAGTTAAAAGTAACTTTATCTCAGAGTACTAGTGGGTTTTTTTTTAATATGAACAATCATCAATCTCTTCAAACAATATTTTATCAAGTAGAGTGCTAGGTTAAAAGCTTAAAACATATTTTCTAAAAAAAAAAGATTTATATGGAAAGCTAGTATTTGAGAAGACTGAAAAACATTTATTCGATAAACTATCTAACTTGCTTAGTATCACCTCACTGTTATCAATTGATTAGCTAGTCAGATTGATAACCGTTGACAGACATTTGAATACAAAAAACTAATTTTATTTTCCGAAATGCTTCAGAAGAACTATGGCAACTTGAGTTGGATAGAATTTGTTGAATGGAAAAATATTAAAATAACTGTTAGTCAAATAAATCTTCCCTTAAAATGTTTACTCGATGCTGGGAAGTATTGTTTAAACTATCCAGTTTGTATGAAATTCATATCTTCCTGAAGTAAATTCTCCTACTGAGATCAGAAGTATTGCTATGTTAGTACGCGACGTTTGTTGAAATTATTCGATTTACGGATTACACCAAGGCCTGATTTTAGTTTGGCAAAAATTAAGAACTAGAAAGCATTAAATAATCGTTTCGTTCTGCTTAGTAGTGCATATCTACGATCTTACTAGGAATCAAAACTAGAGAATTTAAAACTCTCAGGGAACGATTAACTCCCCAAACACAAATTGGAATCCAATGGTTTGCATTTTTAACACCAGTCATTTCATGGTATTTTGTTACCATCATCTATTTCTGTTGCTGATATCCATCTCAGATCCATGATGTAAATTACAAATCAAAAAAATCTACACACACTTCCTGCACTTACAGCGGTTATGTGTTTTCTAGTGACTAACTTGGTGAGGAAGTTTTTGTAGTTCTAGTGAGAAGCAGTAACTAGTGGAGTTTAACTATGTCGGTTGTGAAATAGGTATTACCGGTGCCAATAAATGACGAAATATCATGAATTGGCTAGAGTTAGAAATGCGAAACACTAAATGTCAATTTTGTGGTCTGGAAGTTAATAGTGCACTGAAAGGCTCAAATACCCTAGTTTCGATCCTTGATGAGGTCGTACATGTACACCACTGAGGAGGAAAAGAACAACTGTCCAGTGTTTTCTAGTTCCTAATGTTCATTTAGCTAGGGTTAGGCCGTGATATAAACTTCAAATAATATTATATGTGTTTGTATGACACAGAATAGCTTTTATTTACTGGAAAGTCTAGTCATTTTAACTGACACATTAGATCTAAGTTACATCTGTCAATATGATTAGGGCATACTATTAAAAAAAATAAAATCCAAGTAAAAATCTGGTGCTTACTGAAAGCGTTTATTGTATTCATTATTGGACTGGAAATAATATTCACCGAAGTTACTGGAGTTGTTGTTGCTGCCGTTGAAGTGGAAGACGGAGTGGAACATAGTACCAGTAGTGATGGTATTGAAGACAAAGACTGAGTGGATGAAAACATAGATGCCTCAGATAAAGATGAATTCATCTGATTAATTGGATCTGAAATGTCATCTTGCTTGAAAACTTTCAACCGTTCTAACTGATTTTTCATATTTGTATTGGTTTCACAGTCATAAATGTTTTGTATACAATTATCATTATTGACTGATAACTCACAGTTAACAGAATTAGACAATGTACTAGGGGATTCTGACTTCCGATCCGTTTTCATAACATCTTTGATAGAAGAACTAGAATTCGTAAGAATTGATAATAAATCCATTTCTGATGAAGTTCTTGTTGTTGATATTTGTGGTATTAATGAACTGCCACTTTCATAGTAATGTTCACGACATATTAAAAACTTGTCACTATATAAAAGATAATATTGATCACCTGTAGTGAATTGTTTCTTACAAATTGCACATTGAAAACAGTTGATATGATATACATAATGACGAGCAAATCGGACAAGTTCGCCATTCCGAATAAGTTTGTGACAAGCTGAACATTTTGGACCGAAATTTCTATAGAAATTGTAAGAAAGATAATGATAACTATTTTTCTTTTGTATCATTTTAACAATAAGGAAATTATCAAATTATCTGAAATTTTAAAAGTTAAAATAGTTTAGGAAATGAGTAGTTTATGTATTACAACTTAAAATTCATACTATGATAGGATATTAACAGTCATCCCATTTTAGTTAAATGATTAGAAATTGGCCAGTATTCAGTCAGTCAGTTTGATTAAATTGTTTTTTTAACATTTATTTAATCAATCTTTTCGATTTCATTAGATTAAAGTATATTAAATAGCCTAGTTCTTATGAGTATCCAAGATGGGGGGGGATATTATCAACCTCGAAAAACTTTCATAATAATAACCTCCAGATTCCTATGAAGAAAATGTTTACAATCTAATAAATAGTCTTAAAAATAACGATATTATGGTTGAACACTTAGAAATAATCTACATTAAACCTAAGTCCCATATCCAATATTAGTTAATGTTTATTAATTAATCACAGTTGTCATCTCTAACACGGTGGTTCACTTTTTGTCAATATCCATCAGTAAGATAAAAATTAACATAACTTTTTACGGTAGAAGATCTCTTACATTTATGAATATCTGTACTTATTCATAGATAAAATTTGACACTTGGATAGGATTATGACATTAATTATCACTATAACACGAATTATCTTTCAGTTAACATTTGTTGGAAAATGACTGACAGGTATAAGTTATGTTTCCATTATAACCACAACGTTTTTCTACAAATAAGTATCTAGCATCCTCATCAAGTCAAACGAATTCATCAATCAAACTATTATGGCTTGGTAAATGCTGTGAATGCTCTTTGGACTCACTATTGTAAACAATGAAGGGAAATAGCTTTGTCTTCTCATCTAGCCTCAACGAAACCAAAGGGAGAACACAAGTTTTAACTAGAAGATCTATTCGATTCAACAAAGGAAAGTGAGTATACCTATAGTTATCTCATATAAACATATTTTACATATGTTCAGAAAATGAGATTACAAAATAACTTCATCAAATACTAACAAGTCAATAGAGGAAAATGACCTCAACAGAGATAAAAGCGAAAAGCACGAAATGTGTTTGCAAGGTTCAAAGTAATTTAAAGTGATAAAAATTTATAGCTGAAATGCTATCGCGAACTATTCTATCTTTAATCCAAGACAGACTGCTTGGATCATCTTGTCCCTGAGCAGCCGAAATGGCTGTTAACTACTGAAATAACTTCAAGGTTACTGATTAAATCTATCAAATGATGATAATGACAGTGTCCAACTACTTCTATCTGTCAGTAGTATATCGAGAAAATTAAATCTTACATAACACCTGTATTATTTCTGGGTTAAGATTTTAGGTAAATCTCAGTGCTTATACAAAGTCAATTTTTATGTCAACACTCTGTATAATAAATAGATCAATAAATAACTCAACTGTTCATCTAATATCACTAAGTTATGTTTCTTACACTTTAAGATTCCATTTAACCCCATTTACATTACTGCTTTTCTAAAGGACTGTATTACGGAAGAAAAGTGTTTTGTTTAATTAGGCTGTATAGTATAATTGAATTTTAAAGTCTCATTCATCCCTTTAATGACGAGTAATAATCAGTAGTTTTTATTATCACCTATTTATGGTTTACCGAAAACAAAATTCTTAACTGAATCAATCTCTTTTTTATTTTATGTTTACATAAATAGTTGGTAGATGAAATGGTCTTAGATTTACAAACAAATTGTTTCATCAACAAGAATAACAGGTATAGGTATAAAACGTTGAGTAATAATGAGTGTATTCAATTAACTTCCAGTTTGTAATTATCAGTAAGTAGGATCTATGATTACGAAAAATTAGCTTTAATCATCCTAAATCTTGCATTCTTAAATTATTCGTTAATGACTTTGTGTACTGAATAGATCATGAATTGAACCATGGATACTAAAGATTTATTGTACCTTGATTTGAGCCGTTTTCCTATTTAAATATTGTTTTATGAATTTTAAAAAATAAAATTTTTAGTGTAAGGTAAAGCGAAGCAAAACTTTGTCACTACAAACTCTGTAACATAATTTAAACCAGTTTTGTTCAATCCTAGTCGAGTGAAACAATAATTTTACTTATAAAAGGGCTGTAACTACATTGATTTATTGATTCATTTAACTTCTTAGATTTCGTTCGAAACTCATTTGCTATTTGGACAGAAATATTGAGTATAATTTATCCGTAATTATCAGCAGTCAACTTAACGCATTGATGGAGTGTAATATTAAAGGAAGACACTCTGTAATATATAACTTTATCTATCCATGGTTTATTCAATATTCAGTTTTAATAACACAGCTAGTCAGAGTATATTTGGGATTGATATTTTTACCTAATGAATTACTGATTTTCATTGTGAGATTTAATCTTAGAAATGGTATATCATGTATATGAATCAAAATGATCGTACTATATGCTTTATTTACTTGTATAATTCAAAATTCCTAGAAAAAAAAGTAGTAAATTGTCACATCAATTTAAATTTAAATCCCTAATAACAACTTTGTACAATCAAAATTGCAGTGACCAGTGGTGTTCAATCAGGTCTGTTGTGAGATAGTAATCACTGGTGACAATGGTGAATGTGTCGCTCAATTTCGTGGGCTAGTTGAAGTTAGACATTAACATTGTTGGATGCCGGTCAGCTCAGTGGTCTAGTGGTTAAGCGTCGCGCGCGAGATTGATAGGTCCTGGGTTCGAGTCCTACGAGGCGGGGTCATGGATGCGCATTGCTGAGGAGTCCCACAATCGGACGAAACGGCCGTCCAGTGCTTTTAGGTCTTCCACGGTAGTCTAGCTTCAACTGACTCATGATCTCAACTACTGAAATATAATTGTCTAACGATTAAGCTCTAACAAGGTAAGTATGCTTCGGTAAAAAATAAACTAAATTTATATTGCGTAATCTTTGTTCAAAATAACTGTTCTAGATAATTGTATTCGCTCGAGTAGAAAGAAAATGATACTTTAGCGATAATATTAATTTGCGTGTCCTATTTAACTATTAAATAGATTATGAATGTAAAAACCTTTAATAGTAACAATAATTCTATTTTAAAAGTAATTTCTTTCACGTTAATCGATAAAATATTGAAAATTATGATAATTCTTGTTTTTCATCCTGACCTAGGACTTCTCACAAATACATAATCATCATCCTATATAGAAAAAATGTAAAACTTTTTAGTTTACACCGGCCACATTTTGAACTGAGCCAATCCGTCAGAAGTTAATTTCAGACACTTTTAATAATCAGTATTAAAAAATTGTATCATTTTATTGCACCACATAGAAAGAAGAAATCCAAATAAGTTATTTATACTTGAAGATATTTTGAATATGATAAAATCAGGTCATTGTGGCTCCCAGATATCACACAAAGAAAAACGATGAAAAAGTTGATTATGACTGAAAGAAGATACTACAGAAGGACTTCTAGGCCAGTTAACTTATCATATAGGCTGTACAGGGATTAAATCACAATGCTTGATCAAACGACTTCATCTAATGGAATCTATCACAGTTAAGAAGGTTATCATCAAATGTTAAGTCCTTACAAAGGTATTTTTATTAGGAAGTTATTTACCGTCAGATTTCTCAATTATCCTCTATTTTTATAAATACATTGAAGTCCACCATTAGAAAAAAAATTACTGATACATTGAAAGCAATTACAGAAATTACATGTTTAACATTATCAACTATATTCACTAATATCATATATATACTTGAAAAGAAAGGGAGACAGAGAAACACAAAGTTTACAAAACATTTGTAAACTGTTAAGTTCAAATGTCATACATATAAACTACTTTGTAAATCACTTTTATTCTTTATATTCAGTTAATTTAGTTTCCCTTTTTTTAAACCAACTTTATATAATACACCTACCTACCTACATACATACATGACAACAGCAAGTTTCTCTAAAATGTCTTATATTACAACAAATCAGTAACTTTCTTATTCCTATTTGAACCAGTTAAAGGAAAATTAACTAAATCAATTAATTCAAATAATGTTTAGAAAATTTTTTTTTCATAATTTATTTTATTTTATTTTTTTCAATAAAAATATATCATAGAGATTATTATTAGTATCATTAATAATTAGTAATTGTTTGAATCTTTTTGTTATTTATGTTAGAGATTATTCAACTATACTTAAATGTTTATGATTTAATGAGAATATTGGGACAGTTCACATGGGATGTAAATATACTAGAAGTGATGGATCAACTAATATCCTTAACATCATCAATAACAACAACAACAAAATGAAGATTCATACACTTATAAATAAACAATGAAATTCATTTCTGTTATACAAACTAGTGGCTACACGAACTCAGTAACCCTTTAGATAACATATTCAGTGTTTGAATTAAAAAGTATTAGGTTCCAGTCCTAGTATAGATATTAACATTGGATTGTGATAAGTGCATCTAGTCAATGGATCCCGAATAACACGAAATCCTGGATTTCGCAGCTAATCATTATCTATCATCATTAAATATTTCATGGAAAGCTAAATTTTATTGGTTTACATTTTTTAGTATTAAAAAGTAGGAGTAAGAACAGAATATTTAGTAATTCCAGTGTATACTTTTATATTTGTGATTATTTGCAAAGATTATATACTGTATGAAGGTGTTTATCATCAATTGGAAAACCCTTAAAAATAGTCCTGTGGCCAATGTAAACTATTGTACTCCAAATTATTAATTTAAAGGTATCATATTTGTTGTGAGACCTGAGAGTCTTTAATTTATATTTCATATGGAGTAAGGAATTCACACTATTGATAAGATTCAATCTAGGACAAGTACAACTGTGTAGTTCTATAATGTGTTCATTTATTTTCTACTTTATAAATATTAAATGTAGGTCTACTGGTTCATTATTTATTTGATATTTTGTTTTGTGAAAACTAATTTTCTATACAATAACACTGATTTACAACTAATGAATCGGAAATTAACACATGATTCAGTTTTAAGCATATCAAACAGTAATAATTCTATAGATCTCCAGAAATGAAATTATTATTCGTTAGAATCAATCATCATGCTGCAAATATGTTCAATATTAACTAACTGACTACTAGTACAAATGTATTTATTTTAGCATTCATTAAGTTATTGAACTCTGAGTTATAAATCATGTATAAAGAATTAATGAAACTATTGAACCAATAAAACTGAGCTAGGTAATGAATGGTCTGAGAAAATAACTTTTATAATTATAAAAGTGTGATTCTGAAGTAAAAATAAAGTAACCTGTGAAACAAACGGAGTTATACATAAAAATACTTCTTAACTAATAAAATCAAATTAACTACTAAAAAAATACTTTTAGATACAATACTCTAGAAGGTATTTTGTTTATCATTAAACTCTTGAATCATTGTGTTTGTTCTACTACTACGTCGAAAGCACGTAATGTGAAGAATTACTAAATTGTACTAATATAACTATCCCTTATTCCCTAAAGTTTTAACAATTTTCAAGTTAATATTATCGTATAATCACTAAAAAAATATGACCAAAAATAAGAAAATAAAAATCACATTTCCCTATCTAACATCTGTATACACTAATGATTAAGCATAAGTAATTTCAAGTCTCATCACTTAGTTTGTTTGTCTTTTCTTTTCAACAAATAGTGATGTTACTTCCGAAATGTAAAATCATTTCGTTCTTTAATAATTTGATTTGTTTAAATCAGATCCTTATCAAATAGTGATATACAATTCAAATAGAAAGTGTTTATAAATAAACTTTCTAAAAGCTGTAGCAAATAAATGGCATACAAGTAACGGATTCCCAGAATACCAAAAAAAGAAAAACAGAAGAAAAATTGGATAGTGAAAAGTATGGTTCTATAGTCTGTTTAAGGTCATACATGGAGAAGAAAAAGAAGAAAACCTATCCATAAAATAATAGTAATTGAATGCAGATATCTAAAAAGGTATTCATAGATAATTTACTGTTCAATAATAGTAAAGTGTATAATTTGTAATCTGAACATTCGGATGCTTATCAGTACAGCTTATGTAAATATAAGAAATTAATAAGAAAGTTAGTTAATATACAATGAAGAGATTTGTGGTATTTATTATGTTTACAGACAGTTCACATTATAATCCAATATGTCCTAATGATTTATAAAAAAACTTTGCAACTGGATACAATGCTGGAAGTTATAATTGGTTACTACAGAGTAGTCTTATTATAGGAAGGAAATATCTATTCAACTGTTCCTAGTTATCAACAGTCATCCAGCTAATATCAATTCCTGGTGTAAATTAACTTTGAATGTAAAATATAAGAGCGAAGCACTTGTTTTATTACAGTAACCTATTAAATCTGCCAATCTAGTTCTAAATGAGCTGATTCAACATATTTTCAAGTTTCTGAATGACTACCAATTTATAGTAAAATAAGAAGTTAAATCAAAAATTTCTTTTATTGATATCCTATTTACCAAAACAAAATGACGAATCGATGTAAAGGCCCACATATAAAAAACATATGCAGAATGGATATCTGACTGATTTTTACAGATTAGTAACCGGAAAATGAAATCACAATCATTCTCCATAATCATGAGCCCCTATAGGATGAAATAACTAATTTAAAGTGGAATTATTGTTGATATAGTCAAATATTAAGTTAAAAATTAAGCTACTCGTACAGATTTAAAAAAAGGGAAATTCCGGGAACTAACTTGATAAAATCTTCTCGACAGTATAAATGACCATCCTTTGTGTAACATCGTTCTGTGAGCACAAATCCACAATCAAAACATCTTAAACAATTTTGGTGCCATGTAAGATCATCTATACTATGATAATATTGATCAAATATAATTGATTGACATTCATTACAACGCAACATATTGACTTTAATAAAATTAGGATCATTTCTGCTTTTATTTTGTGTACAATAGGCAGATAATTTTGAATTGTCAGCTGATTTATTTGAATTTTGATCAGTGGAGATCAATGTTACTGGAGGGTTATGTGTATGATTATTTTTCAAATGAATATTCATACTTTGATTTAGTTCATTACGATTTGGACTGGAACAAATAAACTTAGTACTTGAATATGTTTGCAAATCTGTATCTGATATGAGAACCGTATTAATATTACTAACATTAATACTATTATTACTATTGTTGGTTGAAATGGTAGTAATAGTAGTTGTAGTATCAGTAATAGGGGTCATTGCATTTATACTATTATTGTTACTCTCATTAAAACCATTAGACATTGTATTTTGGTTCATAATTCCATTGTGATTAAAATTCGATGTTACCCATATTTCCGGGTTTGCAGTAGTCATTTCTACCACTTACTACTTGCTATTATTATTATAAGTAGCAGTAGTAGTAGTCGTGATCAAAGTTTGTAGCTTCTGTTTTACAGTTTAATATGATAAAATTTTTATTAATATTTCAGTAGTCTTTGTAATGATGATTAACTGCTGAATATTGAGTGTAATTTTCTGAAAATACATAATTATTCGAAATTCTGAAGCGTGAAAAATGATTGTTTACTTATTAAAAACTCATTTTGATTTTTACAATCCTTAAAAATTCTTTATAATTCTTTGTCCAATAAACACTATTATTTTATGCCCATCAATGTTTCCAGATTATTTTCACACTCCCTTACATACTTAACTATCTATTTACTAATCATGCTTTTCTCTTCTCCATGCGCACCAGTTAGAAACTAGCAAATGAGATAAGGGTTTTTGATTGGTTGATAAACTTACTAATTATTATGCGAAAATCGGATTAGCATAGAATATTAATAACATTGAAATTCCGGAATTCTATGTCCCCTTTCATTCATTCTACTTTCCATTAAAAAATATGAGATCAAATAGACAAATAAAAGTGAAGGCAATGTTTTGTACTATTCTAGTAAATACAATTATTTACTGAATAATGAATTTACAATAACAAGAGGTGGTTTATAGAAAATACAGCCCTATTGATTATTGGTTAACAGATACTGGTTAATATATATATATATATATCACATGATATGTATGAGCATATAAGAACTGTTTTGCAGCTATACAATCAACTGGTTAAAATAGAAATTTGTATCTAATCAAAGTAGCATCATTTTAAATAATGTCTTAAATGTTTACAATCAATAATTTCATTCCGGGAGATAAAATGAAAATTTCTGTTAAACTGGAAAAAAAAACAGAACTCAGTACAAAAGGTGTAAAAACTCTTAAAATTATGATTCAACTTTATGTATGAACTTTCAGAAAGATATACAGTAAGTATCCTTCTGAAGAGTTCATTGAATTTCAATTGAACATATTAACTTTTGAAACACTGGGTTTATATTTATCATGTAACATTTTCTACTATTACGTAACTTGTATTGACACGTAATTAGCCCGAGTTCAATTATAAATGAATTTTAATAATATAGAATATTTCATGAAATATACTCCTTGAATGAAGAATAGAACAGATCGTTTAGAATATTTCTAGTTGGATATTACAATTCATATTTTTAAATATGGTAATAATCCGATAATATTAAGTGAGATAACCAATCTTTGACTTCAAAATGAGCAGTAAACTTAGCGAGCTCTTTCGAAACGCATCTCCCAAAAATTCCTCTTCCTGGCTCTCTAAAAAATTACAGAAGTTCGCCAAAAGCTCAATCTCAGATCATCTAGTGAATTCCAGCCACACCGCTTCGCCAGAAGCCTCCTTTGGAATTATAGATACAGTCAGAAGAGTTGGTTCAATAAGAATGCAAATGAAAAACGTATGTACAGTAGAGGCTATTGCTATCCACCAGTTTAAGCCTAACCTTTGCTCACAAAACAATATGTTCAATCCCCTTCATTTCTATCTTTCATAATTTATCATTTAGCACCTTTTTATTTCACTATAAAACAATATCTTACCATATAAAACTGACTATAAATACGACTGTACAGCTTAAGTAAATGAGATCGTTAAAAAGAAAAAAATCTTCGCTGAAATGCCTTCCTTCTTTAAACTGAAACTCGTTAAATTTTCAGTGAGAATTTTTCATCTACTGATTACTTGTTAACTTATAGGTGAATCAAGAAGAAAAAGGTGACAAATACTAACTCATAGTTAAAATTTCATGCTTCGAATGAAATACCCAAAATATTTGGGCTTTTTTTTAATAATCTCTAAAGTAACAAAATCTTTTCATCATATTTTTTAAGTCAATCAGTTTGTTTGGTTAAAGTAATTTTTATATATTTACTGTGGATTTATTTTTGTATATTTCTAAATAGTTTGAATAGCAGAGAACTTGACAAGTATCTATAGGTTTATGACAAGAAACATATTTGTCCAATGACTGATTTTTATCATCCTCTCTCTCTCTCTCTCTCTCGTGATATTTTATTGACCCTATATTTTGATGCCACTTAGATCGGACGATAATGTTGTCAATGGACTCACCACTTTACTGTATCCCTTTGTCTGACTCCAATTAAATCGTATTATGATTGTCATCAGCTTATACATTCCAGCTACCCTCGTTTATAATTATCGACTTAAATCGAGTCGGTGAGTAACGGGGTTAAATAAGCCAAATACGAGAATAAAGTTTGAATACGTGAAATTCGTACACTTATTGATTTGGACAGACAATCAGGAAAACGAAGCTAAGGAAGCGAATGTAAACGAAATCACACAGAGCGGAGAGGGCGAGTGAACCAACCAGCGTGACTTAATATTTATAGTCAGACCAAAAATAAATTACAGACACATAAGTAATTAACACACATACTATCATATAAAAAGCAAGCGGGGTTAATAAGCGAATGAGTGACAAGGTAAGAATGTGACTTGAGAAGAATGAATAGATTAGTATGTCCAGAGGCTAGAATAACCTATATGGGCTTGGCATAGTACTAGCCCCTACAATATATAAGTTCCGGTCGGGCGACTGATAAAATTTGTAGAAAAGATGCACTGAATGCTCAGATTCTCGATTATATGACATAATGAAAGAAAAGTAAGTTGCAATTCATCGGTAAATACTGTAATTTTATTAAAGAAGAAAATAATCCCAAATACTAAATAAAATGGAAATAAGACTAATAAGTAGTGTCAGCTGACTGTAAAATGAACTCTTAGGCAATAGTTTTTACACTACTGATATTTTTGTGTTAAATTATTTTTGTACGGTTTGCATTAGAAAAAGTAACTTGATTAGTTGGGAAAAAAATAAAGCACCATTGTTTATCATTACATGTGTCAAAAAATTGTTAACTACAATTTCAAATTTAGAAATACATTTTTAAGAGTGAGACGTTGGCTCAGTGATTAAGACAGTCCACTACTAGCCACAATACCCCCGATCATAAACCTACAGCCTATCCACTACTACGGCTTAGCCGGTAAGATGGTACTAACAGCCAGCATACATAGAATATGACTCAAAGTCAAGTGCATAAATATGTACCAGGTAAATATTTCAATAAGAATAAGAATGTGTGAGTTCCCAGTGTCTAATATTAAAAAATACGGAATAATCTTGAACAGTCTAAACCACAACTGTTCACTGATCATTCTAGTTAGCTTTACTAAACGTACATTAAAATGTTGCTTGAAAAATTGAAATAATGAGAAATTTCAAGTGCTACTGAGTCTCGAACTACGAAATTGCTAAAACCTTTGCAACGCACAAGTTTTGCTTGGTGCTCCTTTTGAGACAATGGATTTGACTGTATAGATTATTTTGAACAATAATTCTCGTGGAGCAAAATGATCAGAACTGACATGTTCTTATATTTATTTACTGATTGTTTCTCATTCTAGTCTTAAAAGCGACTACATGTAATGATCTGAGGTGCGTTCAGAAAGAATCCGTTTTGTGTGGTCATTGTAACCTGCCCCATAAGAGCAGGTAAACTTAGAGGTTCATATTAATGTTGTCCAAATAAATTTACACTCAACACTTCTATGAATAATAAACTTTCTAGGGAAGACAATATATAGTTTCTCAGATGTTTCAAAATTGAGTTTCTCAGGGCTTCTGCAAAAGCATCATCTTCTAATTCGATACCCATGTAATGTTTTCTTTTGGACTATCAATGACCTGTCAAGTTGTAGTTTTTATCACAGGTTTACATCAGTGAATCTTGATAGATTATCATTTCCGAAGAGTATTTATTAGAGTTAAAGTAGTTAATCTTAAGTTATGCCACTGGAGCGTCCCTTTTTCTGCCCAATGTTTTGAATTCTTCCTCAGTGATACAGTAGATTATTTTCATCATTCTTCAAAAAGTAATAATCGCACTTATGTAGTGTCATAGATTCGATTTATTACGCCAATGCACTATAATATGGTTTCAATTAAGTAGTTATCAGCATGCTATGATTTTAATCATGCGACTGATAGTTATGCATAAAAATCAAATCTATGGTCCGAAGCTTCCTTGTGAATGTATGAATATAAAAAAACAAACGAAAATGATCAGTAGAGCCCATTTATTTCTAGTTAAATAAAGCTTTGATACAAAAAGTACCTGATACAAAGTTAGCATGGTTAGACTTTATTTATACAACTGTAAAATAAATGCTTTTATTGTCCATTTTCCAGTCAATAATCTTGAAATTTGACAGAGAAGTTTACTTCTTATCTTCTATATCTTTACCGTATATAATAAAATTAACTTGTTTTCTTAATGAATTTTGATCTTCTCAGTTAGGTTAATAACAGTGGTATCTTGTAATCAGTGTAATCATTACTTGATGTAGAAATTCTATCATCAAAGTATTATGTCATTGCTTATGAATGTAAATTAATATTTTATATGCAGCTGATATTGTTTTATTTAACGTAATCCGATTTAATTCTCGATGAAGCCAACATCACACCTACATGCGTTTAAATTCACGGCGGACCGTAGTCGAGATAACCACATTGTACTAAACATATGCTACTGAATAAAACTACAACCACTATTATCAGATATAGTTCTCCCATTCAAAAATCAGTTAAAATTACTTTATCAAATAAACCTTTCTTGATTTATTTACCACGGTAATCCTTTCTGCACTTTGATATCAACGATCAGGACTTCCACATGAGAATTCAGATGACAGAATGTCTTAGTAACTAGTGAACTTTTACTGCGATAACAAAATATTTTACCACATGAATAGTATTTTCCATATCAAGCGAACTGTTAATTATCTGAATAATCATTTTGATAGAATATTTAAAATTCCTGAAGTTGTCAAATAACTTTCAAAGACCTATACAAAAGGCTACATATTAGAATACTCTATCCCACTGAAAAATTATTAACATTACTTATTTATTAATTATTTAGGGGTTAACTAATAAGTCACAGGTTCAAATGATTGACTGCTTAATTCGATTTGAGCAACAGGTTAGTATCAATAACATACATATACACCAAAAGTATAACTAAAAGCTATACATACATGTACCTGTACTGCCTAATAATATCAATTGTAAGCCCAAAATATTATTTCTTGAAACAGTCTGTCTCATCAAGAAGGTTTAGGATTATTAATGAAATTGAAGAATCTCTCCACAAGTAAAAGATATTTGAACAATTCTCAGAAAACTTTTATGAAGATGGTTTTGCATATAAGAATGTTAGCATAAGGATGATGGGGAACGAATATATTGAAGAAGCTTCTGAATAAATTACTGAGTCTAGGTCTAATCTAAATGAATTTAAGGTTGACTCATTTTGATAACTACTGAGTCGGGTAATGTCTCTTGAGATTGAGTTTTTTGTGTGCACCGATCCTGAGAGGAATATTTAATTTTTCAAATTTGTTTTCATTTGTCAATTACGAGAGCTGTACTGTTGAGCTAAATTCTCTACTGTGATCATTTTATGAACCTGTATTCCTGAGTAAATACGACTGAAGCCATATTACAATGTTGACTTTTGCGCATAATCATAACAAGCTAATTCGAGGTTTTGGAAACTTCTAGGAAAGATGCGAGTTATTAATGACATCTGAGTTTGACCAATATGATTATGAGAGAAAATCATTATAATAAATTCTGGAATTTACCAAATGAGCTAATTAGCTGAACACACTCCCGATATTATTTGGTTTCTGTGATACTATGAAGCATAGTTATCAGCATTTCCAAACGACATGACTATTTTTGGCCGAATGAAATCACTGTTTGGTTAACTTGACTACTTTATACACGCCAATATGACATATTTCTCGACTAGCTAGTGTGTAAACATTATTTCTTTACTATGCTGTAATTAGTGTGATACATGTTTCCTAGTTAAAAGAACTCCACCAGAATTTTCGGCGACAATGTTTTTGAAGTAATTTCGAAAAACGTAAAATCTGAAACTAAATCAGTGCGTGAAACAATTAACACTTCTAAATAACCGTACATATAGTTGCAAATAACATTTAATTATCAATTCTAATGATAATTGCCTAATGAACAGTCATCATTCAATGCATGCCAAAAAAACCTTCCTGAGTTATTGAGCCAACAATCAGTTGTATTTCATAAGTTTTGCAATAATTGAGTATGTGTTGACACAATACATCTTGTTTATCCTTTTGGAAAGGAAATTAGATTTAACAAACATCAACCATTCATCAAATTAAGGTTATCATAAATCTAGAAAAAATTTGTCTGTCATTTTCCTTCCTTACTGTATACATTTACACTTATTTTTCAGCAATACTATTATGATTCATAATTTAGTAAACATACACATGTACCGGAAAGTCATTTTCGGTAAATGTGGATAATTTGTTAAAAAAAAGTGAAATTAGTCATAACTTGTCCATTTTGTAGAATAAGAAACTTGGCCAACTGGAAGAAGAAAACGATCATATTGACTGTTCTTATTATTCCAACTGCTTATACATTTGCATTATTCACAACCTAATTTTTTGTGATTATTATCGCTAATAATGTATATCCCTTAAAAAGAAAATCGACTTATTATTTTCTGAATTTTTTACTACCAAGAAAGATGACAGCGACAGTTTCGAACTGAAATGATCAACAATTACATCTCACACTTAACAACTAAGTGAAAAGAACTTGAGTCATTCAGGAATTATGAGTTGTAGATATACCTAACAAAAAATCACTGAAAGCCATAAAATCTTGATTCAAACATTTGAAGTTTTACTTATTTTTTGAAGGAGTTTACTTAAAATGTAGAATAACAGTACACCGACTATCAAAGTAAGTTTTAAAAACTATATTTGAAGAAACATATTATGTTAGATATAGTGAAGTTTATTTATTTTGTCCTCATATCGAATCCTAGATTAGTGAGAAAATTCAATATACTTTATAATTTAATTGGAAATAATTAAGTTTTACGGTCAGATCAATATTTACTGTCTCAATAAAGAATAGGTAGAAATATATGTGTTCTTTTAGTTATCAGTAGACTCCAAGATGTAAATAAAACAATTTGGTGGTGACACACCCTTTAATTGGCTATTGAAATTTCATAAATGTACTGACGAAATTTGGAAGTTTGAATGGTTATCTTTGACTATTCTAGTTCCAAAGATCCCTTTAGGATCCATCAAAACTAGGTAGGATCTCACTTATAATTTTTTGGAATATATAAATAAAAGATTAGGGAATAAAGACGACGAAATCGTGATTCTTAATCGCGAAACATGCAATATCAAATGAAGATAGGAATTCTCAACCTGGGAGTTATAATACCCTATTGATACCTTTTGTTTAAATCCACTTAATAATCATAAAAACATGATACTGTAACCATTATCAAACCACATGAAATACATACACGATGCATTTCATTCTACTGAAATTGTTAACAGTATTTTATGTTTACACTCAACTACACTACGTATACAAAAATACTGGCCAGTCCTGTCAACCAATCAGTTTTGATAAACACATTGGTACTAAACAGGATAGCTGTTAATTAATGTCGAAACAATTGGACTGTAATCATTAGACTGCACAATTGGATAATATCCTGAATATCAAGGCCTAAATACCTTGAAGAGTATCAACAGTTTCTAACGATAATTGCACGAAATCGAACATGATTAACAGGTTTCGTTATAAAAAAAGAAGACAATCAAAAATATCGATATTGTTAGTGTAAATAAATCTCTTTTATATTTACAACTAGTGGTTAGAATAATACACGCTGTGAGTGAAATTAAGAAAAGCAGGAAGGATAATACTGGATATTTATATATATACACACTAGACTAAAGATAAAAATATATAATATAACAACAGAAGGATCCGGCGAAGGAAATTAAAAGGCTTCTACAAAGAAAAGTAAATAAAAAAACGAAGTTTAGCCCAAGCGTTGCCAAATATTTGGTTTACGTGATTTAATTGGACGATTTCCAGGAACACCAAGACGTTCTGAAACAGACCTAAATAAACGAAAAACAAGCCCAATACAGATACACTAATAACTAAAACAACTTAGTATATGATAGGATCGGCCCCTACGATACACGAACATCATAAAAGAAAAAAACATGCAGGTAAGGGTCTATGCAGAACTATACAACCTGTATAAATCCAGAAGACGATATAGGACGGTTAAAAAATCTAGATTCATTTCTTCAATGTAATTTGATACATTCGATTATCGACCCACAGATTAGGAGTTATATCATTCAAGAACTAAAAATAATCACTAACGATTTAAAAAATGAACTAAGTAGATTTACTATGTTGAATTTAACATTCATTCAGAACGACAACCGAAATAATGACATGAATTAAAGCAGTCAATACAAAATTCGCACCAGTAAAATTAGACTGTTCAAAGTAAAGTATTAAAATTACCGAGGTCTTCCGGAGTTGGATTCTATATCTGCAACCATGCTCATTGACGCCAACAAACGCCTGGTTCTGAGGGCATTTTCGTCCTCAACTAAATTAATACCATCATTAACATCGGTATCAGGCATTAATGTTACTGTTGCAATGCTACGAGGATAATGACGATTAGCAGGTTTGACACGACTAGAGCCACTTGAGCGCAGGGATGGTTTAGAGTCACCAGACAATGCACTCCCCCATGGTTCCCGTGGATCTAAAACTACAATCGTCCCAGGTTCTGGAGTTTCAAATATATCATCCTCATCTTCGTCATCGTCTTCATTCGTCAACCAGCGATTTGGTATTGGACCGCGATCTCGACGAGGCCATTTGTGAGGCTGTCGTCGAGGTTTAGGTACAGGAAACTCTAGAACAAGTGAATTTTGTGGATACAAATGACAGAGAACATTTTAAATATCGTCTTGTAAAGTTACACTAACATCAATTATGGAATAAAATACAGGAGAGACGGTTTGGTATTCAAACAATGCACTAGCAAATGATGTGAATAATGAATAAACTAGAAACTAAACAATCCAACAAACGACAGGCGTTGAAAGGTAGCTTACAATAAACAGTTTAGCCGGCACACTTTTATGGCCCATATATTTTCAATATCCATCGCAAACACCAATAAACCAAACAATACAAATATCATAATGTGTAATATTACGTATTTTATATTAAAACAACAATTGAGAATGTTACATAAACTTTGACAGTTATACTAGGATGAAGCTAGAAGATTATTGACTTCTCGTGATATGTTTGTTTATGTCAATAGGTGAAGACTAATAGACGCTCAGAACTAAGCACAAACAGAGAGAAAATATCGGTTCAATAAGGTACAGCGAATACTAACTATATTAGTCAATCAAATTAAGTCACTGAAAGGAGTACCAAAGAAGTACATTAACCTTATAAAGGCTCTCTACTCGAACACAACTGGTCGAGTGAGAACTTATGGCGAACTGTAATCAGAATTGATTACCTCAAGTGGTGTTCGTCAAGACTGTCCACTCTCTCTATTCTTGTTCAACTTTGTCGTCGACGTACTTTTAGAGATAACACTCTCCTCATCTAAATTTCCAGGGGTTGAACTTGTACCGGGAGATATGCTGATGACATAGTTCTATTTGGTGAAGACGCTGACAAAATGCAGAGTCTTCTGACCACTCTAAGCAACAATGCAAGCATGTTCGTGATGCGATTCTCTCCCTCGAAATGCAAAATGTTGCTTCAGGATTGGGTTACATCGACACCCGAACTAGTGATAGGGAGTGAAGTAGTTGAGTGTGTCGACCGCTTCACTTATCTTGGAAGTCTCATCAGCCCTTGTGGTTTAGTGTGTGACGAAATTTCAGCACGGATACAGAAGGCTCGACTAGCTTTTGCCAACTTGCTTCATTTATGGCGTAGGCGAGATATCCGTCTATCAACCAAAGGACGGGTTTACTGCGCAGCAGTTCGTTCCGTCCTACTTTATGGCAGTGAAACATGGCTGGTAAGAGTAGAGGATATCCATAGGCTACTAGTATTTGATCATAGTTGTCTTCGAAACATTGCTCGTATATCATGGGACCATCGAGTAAGTAATACAGTTGTTAGGAAACGGGTACTAGGTAAGGATGGCAAATCAATTGATGAAGTAGTGAAACTTCATCAGTTGAGATGGCTGGGACACGTGTTACGTATGCCCAACCACCGACTGCCTCGACGTGCTATGTTCAGTGGTATAGGAGTAGGTTGGAAGAAAGCTAGGGGCGGCCAAACCAAAACATGGCGCAAGTCCATGAAGTCACTGACAAGTGAACTGAGTCATGTTGGTAGGTGTAGACTACCTGGTTGGGGACCGCGAGATGATAGCAACCGATGGTTAGAGACCCTGAATGACATGGCTCAAAATCGTTTGCAACGGCGCAGGTGCATCCACTCTCTGTGTTCTCCCAAATTCTAATCTTCTGAATTCTTCATGTCCCTTTCTTTTTTCTCTTTCCAAATTTATTTCACTGGATTATACTCTTTAAATAACATCTCCAAACCCTAATCTTCCCGATTACTGCTTATACTCTTATTACCTCTACCACTACGGGATTTGAATGGACAACTGCATCTCTGTGCTAATATGGTGTGGCAACTCGAACTGATGTACGTACGTACGAAGTTCTACGTTGTTACTGACTGACTGACAATAAAAATTGAGTAACGAAAGTGTAATCGTAAAGCACTCAGTTTCCAACCATGAGACACCAAGTTTAAACCTAGTACCACCTACTTCGTTTTGGACAATCGAGTACCATCACTACTCTTTCACGAGCAAAAGAGTGGTTTAAAAGTAATTAATTAGATAACTAGACCAATTGGGTACCCAGTAATTTTATGGGACAAGACAAGTTACTCATGAGTAGCATTACTAAATAGCACTAAATAAACTTCGCCCCCAGTCGCCATTTTTCACGGACAGTTGGATTAAAACAAGTAAAACCTCTAGACAGCAATCTTGTATAACTTGGTTATTACATAAATAGACAACTATATGTAATTATTTATTTCTAGACACAAGAGCACAATTTAGCTGTGATACCTTGCCTTCTGAAATTAAACTCATTTGCAGAGGCCATAGTTAAGTTTTTTTTTAATTTTTAGATGGAAATGAGTATCAAATTCCTAAAAATTAGTTGTGAAAACAAACTTCAGATCAGTTCAGTCGGATTTTCGCTCTTGTATTAAAAAATCAGTTGTTTGAAATAACGGCTAAACTTACAATTACCTGAAAGCTCGTATACGAACAACATGATTAAAATTTCAGATTGTATTATATTTCACAAGTATCGTATGACCAATCTGGTATTCAATTAAATATGATATTGAATTGTGTATGGTACACATGAACCAAATGAAGTACTGTGGTATTCGTCATACATATAATTATAGATATGAAATATTGAACATATATATGGAATTTTTCTGACTAGATGCTAAATTCCAAAATACTACCAATATATGTGTGAGGGTCTATTTTATTATTATTATTATTTTTTATTGTTATTAATGGCTTTATTCAATATTATATTTTGGTGCAAAATAGAATTCTGTATGTATAGATAGAAATCCTATGCCCTTAACACAGTAAAGCCAAACGAGTTGGATAACTTGCAAGATAAATCCGAGATCAGTACGCAGGAGGAATTGTTAAAAAAATAAACTGCTGACGATTTCAGGCCCAATCCAAAATTGATTTCAAGTACATTAATTAGTCGAATTTTAACCTGGACTTGGTGAGCTAGACGTTTCTCACGTAAATTCAATATAAGCTGATGCATTTTCGTCGCTATACATGGTTCTTTGGAACGTACCTTATTCCCAGCTCATTCTTGTCCTGATATAAGTTAAGTCTAGTGAAGTGTAGTCGTTAAAGTGTACTGGGGAAGGAAGAACGCAACGGAAACGGAAGACATAATTTCGAATACTGACCCATCAACTCCCTGCACAAATTCACATAGCATATTGATAAGAAAAAAAAAAGAAACACTTTGGGATCTTACCGCTAGCATTTCGACGCTGTCTTGTGTTAGACTTTGTAGTATATTTGGGAAATATTGCGGGATGAGCTACTTGATCTGACTCGTCATACAGATTATCGTAAACAATAAGTGGGCGCTCAGGTGCAGGTGCTTGAGAAGCCGAATTCCATATATTGTAGTTACTATTACCAACGATTTGACTAACTACTGAATCGGGATCATCATAAGCGTTGGCAACCAGCTCGGCGAATTGTGCAGATAAACTTTCAATATGACGCGAGTCACCGTTAGGATCGTTGCTGGATTTAATTCGCGATATCCGAACACGACGTCTGTATGAACGACTTAAAATACCAGTCATTCCACCATAATTAGGGTTACCAAAACGGCGGTAATAAAGACTTCGACGTTCTGCCCCAGGTAGTTTTACATCCGCTGAAAAGGCAAAACAGAACAAACGGCGTTAGATCTCAAACACTTGCATGCACTTGATAAGAAGGATTAACTAGATATCCCTCATGTAGAGTAGAAACCCACTGTTGAACGATATAAACTAACTTTAGATAATACTACATCCGAAAATTTGAGTAACATTTGTTATCCAATTTTTACACACTTTTTAAACGAACACAAACAAGCTTTATTAACCTTAAAGGCGAACATTTGAGTCACTATGTATGACCTCATTCCAACGCTCATTTGTTGATTTCCTCAATTAGTATACGTTACAAAATGCAATCAACTGAACCGATCCACCATTTTATGATGTAATATTCCTCAACTTGCCGACCTCAACTTATCTACCACCCTGAAATGCCCTGGTACGGCCGAGAGTGGAGAGAGTCAGCCCTCCCTCTCGAAATACTATCACATGGCCACGTGAATACAACCACTTCCAGGGAAGTCCTATTCACTGCCTTCTCGCGACGCGGGTGTTGTTTACGAAATTGAGAGAATGAAAAGCGAATGTCCGGCGCTTTAACCGGGTTGGTGGACACGGAGGGTTAACCTAGAAGGGTTGGACAACCCTGATTCCAAACCAATTGTGTACATGGGCCCCAGGACTCTGAAGGAACAAACGGTGCGTGTATGAACCACTTATTGGTCACTGGATACCATGGGACTGCATCTCCTGACGTTGCCCCACTGCCTTGTGGGTCAGACCTTTAGGTCGAAGGCTCCGGGTGTGGCTCCAAATAAAACCACCTGCTTCGGTTTGGGCACCCGTGCAGTATCCAGCTTTCGCACAAACCGAATGATTTATGTGACATATATCTATTTGGTGCCTCCTTGTATCAATGTTTATGTGTTCAAATAAATAAAGTAAAACTTGCCTACCAAATTAACGAAACACATCACAATTGTGGGAGAAAGACTAGTAAATAAAAACCGATACGAGTGAACTAATATTCTTTATCATTTAAAAATAGTGTTCAAGTTTTTAACAAAGTAACCATCTGAATAATCAAGAGACAATATGAGCAGCGTAAGAGACTGTTCCTTATATATGTAATCTCAAAGTCAGACACTTAAACGGAAATTTACATCATTTCCATAACCTTTTTCTTGATAAACACTACAGCATAAATAACAGTATATTAGCGGTTCAAATTGATTTGGTTGTAAATTTCTGAACTATTAAATTGCATCACATTAAAACAACAATAAATCTAGTATAGTATATCAAACTTGAATGGATATCAGTTTACTAGAAATTTTATCACAAAGTTGTGGGGCCCGTTATTTTGTCGTCACATTTAGATCGGACGATGTTTGTTGAAGGGCTCGAGATCTGACTCCAAGGAGATCGTAATGATGATTGTTGCTGAAATATATATGTCGCCTATCCTCGTACATAGTCGACTTTAATCGCGTTAGTCAATAACGGATTTAGATAAGTCAAATAACGGGAAGGGACTTGTGAATACACATATTTTGTATATGCAGCGAATAGAATAGAGAGAAGCGAAACGACGCGCAGTGGAGATGGCGGGTAAGCCAACTTCCATTTAACCAAGCATTAATCAATAGTTATAGTTACACGAAAATAAGTTACAGACATGTGATGAGTAATGGGATAAGAAATGTACACACACCTACGCTCATGTAAAAACAGTCAAGATCGATAAGCGGATAATTAACAAGGTCAAAATGTGACTCAAGTAGAATGAATAGATTGGGTTGTCCGAAAGCGAGAATAAGATATACGGGCTTAACATAATAACCGACACTACAAAGTCATTACTGAATTATAATTAAAAAGCTTGGTGTTCAAATATGAAGTAAGCCCTGTCTACTAAAATAATCTTAAAACTAAAAGCAATTATTTGTGAGGATACATATTTTACTGTTGTTGATGTTAAGGTCTCCAACTGATCAATCTCTGTTGGCATATGTAGATCCTGAGATGAATGGCAATATTGAGGTAAACCATACAAATAACATTTATACTCGTTGAATAAGCTAGTGACTATCTGGATTTAGTGGCTTACTGGATAACACAGCAATTGAAGAGAACAGTACTGAATCCGATTCTTATCATGAACGTCAATAATGAGACATAAGTACACTTAACTGACGAGATACCCGTACAGGATCCCACTGTTAGCCATTATCTAACTTGGAAGAAATAAGCAATAGTTAAATATATTTCCACAAAAAAAATCAAATTAATAAACCACTTTTAATTAAAACTTAAGAAATAAGGATGAAATATAATATCTGCTTACTTTTATGTGGGAATCGTAGAAAAAGTGATATTGTTTGAGGTGGAACTGATAATGCCTTATACCAACGTCCGGTTGGAGGTAGATGTTGAGAAAATTGTTCAATAGAATCCAGTGTTTCATTTGATAATGTCAGAGATTTACGATCTTCAAATATTTCGTCTAAATTATCTGACTGACTTAAGCCTACATGATTAATATCATCTTTTTCTAAGAGTGAGGCCAAAGCAGCAGCTGCAGCTAATGCAACACGACGATCAAATGGTTCAGCGAAATCGGCTATAGCGCGTAGAACAGTATTTTCATCTTCAAACACGACATTGCCTTAAGGGAGACAGCAGTGTAGTTGGAAAATTGGATTAAGACCATACATTTAACAAGAGAGATAAGAGGTGAAGAAATAATACACCTAAGCTGATTGACATTATGTAGATGTAAGTAGGTTTCTATTGATGTGATTAGTACGATAATGTATGAAAATCAGATCTTAATCGTAACCCACATACAATGTTAAGTCCTCGTTATATAATTTGATAATAATGGTCACAAACCCAAATACCGAATGGGATTTAGAGAAAAAATACATACTTTCCAACAAACTGAGTTATTTTGAATTCTTTAGTTGTGATTAGACCATCATGACAATGAATATAAGTTTTTTATGTTAAAAGTTCCTAATTCCCCGACAGAATCACAGAGGAACAAGGCTTGTAAAATTAGTCTTTATTAAACCAGTAAAATTAGGATGTAGCATTAACAGCCTTCAGTATCCTTTGGAACCCTAGCAAGCGTAATAACTAAAATTAACCAAAGCCTCATACTGCTTTTTTCTAATTCTTTATAAAACATAAATGGCTAACCAACTTATTCTACAAAGGTAATTTCTCTATTCTGAAATTATTGTTGTCAGATTACTTTATAAAAGTTTGATTAGTTTAAGAAACATGAAGGGCAGTTGCTTGCTTGTATTCATACATGAATTCGACTCTATTAGCATGTCTAAAAAGAGATATCCAGTACTTAAAGGTACTCACAATTGGTTGATCACTGAGTAGTGAGGAATGTTATGTTGGTAAATACTTTTTAGTGCTGATCGAGTCCTATCGATAAAGTTGTAGTGTGACCACTCGTCTAAATGACTCAATATATTAAGATATAATGTAGTTGAAGATGGTCAACAATCAGTCGCTGCCCGAACAGCTCAGTAGTAACAACTCATTGTGAGGCTGGATGATAGGGGACTGAATCCCTCTGGGAGCACCTATTACATCAAAACAACAGGTGTGTCTTGCTGACTGATGCTAAGTGGTACGAAAGCTAAACTCAGGGTTTCTTATCGACAAACTCCAACTATCTAACAGTGCTTACATGTTTTCAACGTATTGAAGTCAATGCCAAATTTTTTTATTACAAGAAACCACCTTAAGAATATCGTATTCTGATGTTCGTTTTGCAATTGATATTTGATATACACTGATCAGACACCTATTTATTTAGCTTTCCCGCAACCTAAGGTCGAGTATACGTCGACAAAAATGACCGAATTTTAAGTGAAAGACCAATGAATAGTAGTAAAAATCAAAGAATTAAAACACTTTCAAACATGTCTCGGACGAATGTTTCACTTTTTTATGATTACGCCTAATATTTAACCGTAGATTTTCATTTTCACAGTTTTAAATAAACTTGTATAAGTCATGAGCTTGACTCTTGCAATATCCCATTTCAAGTTCAACTTTCACCACATTATGTGCAAAACAGAACCATAAAATACAAAATAAGATCATTTACGAGTTAGTTTTGTTTATGACTAATTGACACCGAACAAAAATATGATCCATGATAATCACCGTAACATAGAATTCCAGAAATTAAGGAAAACGAATAACGATATTAGCATAATTAAACATACATGATGCATCATTTATCCATTCGATACATTTTGGGCTGTAATCAGATAACCAAGATAAAACATCCTCTGTACTAAGATTGTGAGTACCCCAAATATGAAGAGCATTTGATCTATAACCCTGTTCTAATATTTCATTCCTTCCTTTTGGAAAACCTAAGTGGTGATAAATCTTTGCAGCAGAAGCCTGAGTAATCGCTAATGTGGAACCGCAGTTGCAAAATTCAGACTATAAAATAAAGTAACACAAAATTTGTGTGATTTAATTACTTGGAAACTAGGAGGGGATCAGTATTTTCAACATGCTAACTGTGATCATCACATATTTCAGACAGTCGCTGAAAATTTCCATCCTCCTAACATTACTCAGACTAAGTTAAAAGAGATCAATTAATAATGTCACGGTGTGGTTACCTCTAGGAGGCCAGGTACATTTAACTCACGTTTCCACCACATTACTCAATAAAGATTCAGCATTATTAGATGATTTTCCGTTTTTGCCTAGCAAAGTACTATGTGTTCAGTAGACTAACAAATATGTAACATGAGAAAGTCTTAAATCTCTAGCAAAACACAAAATATTTTGGTGGGGAATTTTAATTTTGAAAAACTGATGAATATGACTTGGTCCTGATTCCAGCATTCCGTTCGCTTTATCCTAAACCATTATTTAAAATCCAGCTATTAGGTAAGTAGCCAGTTATCCCTCCTACGTATACATATTAATTAGCTAAAATGTCACTAAATTTTATAACCCGAATAGAAGCACAGATATGAAAAACTGTAATGATACAATAAATAAGATATACTGTTACTGACAACCAGATTTTATCAGCCATCAGCGTGAGAAGTGTTGATTTAATGGTTAGCGCAGTCAGTTTTCACCCAGTAGGTTCAAGTTTAAAATGTGACTACATCAACTATTTGGGAGGCTGGGTAGTTGAACCGGCCTTCACACATGAGACTAATGATAAATACACAAACTTGTTTTTAGTGAGTTGTATCACCATATAAACTTGACGGTGTAAATGAAGGTATCTGTTAGTAGATATCTTGTAGCTTTTTCTTAAAACAAGCGATATAAGAGCAATATTAATGATTTCAATGATAGGATATTCCTTGTTAATGGGATCATTATCTTTACGTGTTTTTAGTTCAGCATAAAACCAAGTGCGATAACCACAGAAAGAGATGAACTTTTTTTCAAACTCAAGAAAAAAAGCAGTACAACTGTGTCTTACCTGACATGAACAATAAATTGGTGACAATATTTGGTCCTTCTGTTCAGCCGGTACATCACAGCCATCAACATCTACTGTTACTTTCAAGCAAGGTACAGAAACAGCCATGAGTTTTATAGTCCGCCAAACTGACTGCAATCCATCTGTATAAAAAAGGTACATTTCTTGCATAACTAAGTAAAGAACAGTGAGGGACACGGACACCGACAAGTATTATCCAAAACGCTATTGCCATAATAAAGGCCTATGGAGAACTGACACCTGAGGGTCTATCTATTTTGAGCTGGATGTTATGTTTTAATGATTACATTGCAAAAGAATTAATGTACAAGTACTGTGCCAAAACTCAAGTGCGAACGTTGAAACAAATTGTGATTACATGACTTTCATGTCTGACTTGAGACAAAATACAGAAAACGTGGTCATTAAAAAATGACAGAATCAACCAAGACGATAACACAGACCATAAAATTCGTATTACATTCAAAGCAAACAAAGAGAGGAGAATGAAGGCGTCATCCCCCCCCCAAAAAAAATGGTGTAAACGAAAATTGTTTATTCTCCAAAAATCCCGACGAAGAGATAGGAGAGACCACGCTGACTACCGTAAGATTTAAAACAACGGTAGAACCACTACCTCCTAACTTTCAAAAGACATTTAGCCGGGCAACAAAATAATATTGGACATGACAACTAATTGTTTTCATCTATAAAGGGGGAAATTCTTGTATTTTTACTATTAAATAATTAGCTGGGTTAATATTTCTCTGTATTTACGCAACAACTGACCGGAGTTCGCGAAAAGAGAGCAGTAAGATACGACCAACAGACACAACAAGTAACGATAGGATTTGCACTTACCGCCAACTACTTAGGCACAATCGACTAACATAAATCTATCTGCAAATATTTCGGGTTAAAAGTAGAACTGAGACACTCTGGCAGAAGCTTCATGAAGTTTTTGCTACCCATATTGGTGCTCAAAAATGTACAAAACAACAAATACCTTTCTACTCTCACGCCCTTGTTCATAGTGCTGTGGTGATAGGCCTGATAAGCTTATTTTGTAAATAGTTTTTGATGTTATTTGTAGTTATTCTGTCAATTTTTTACTGCATGTACATTTATCGTTAGATGATAAACACGCACAAATCTGCTGAATTAAGTAACGTCTCTAATTTTTGCTGTGTTTATAACATTTAACTGATATATATTAACATTACTATGTGTGCCTAATAACTCTGTTATCATTTGTGAGTTCAAATATTGTTTGGTCCACCACAGTGTCTTAAAAGCCATTGGTTACAGGAATGGTTCAAAATGGTTCAGCTGGTTGTGGACGGAATAGAAGGGGCTTCCGCTTAACGGCCTTCTGTGTCTAGTAGCAATGGATCGCCAATACCTCCAGACAGGAACAAAGGTATATTAACGATAAAAAGGGAAAAAGAAGTTGGTGAATCATAGTAAGATACTATCCTTAGTCCTTAAAAATATGTCAAGTTTCCTCTTAAAGGACTCCTGAGAGGTCGCTTGGACTAGCTCAGCCGGCAGCGAATTCCAGCATTTGACAACTCCTAAGGAGTAGAAGTTGTGTCTATAATCCGTTCCGCTGTTCACATATGCTCCATTTTATCGGATCAGTTGGCCATGATAAGCAAAAATCTTTAATGTCTCATTGACGAACTATTTGGCTTCGTCCATGACTAACAGAGTACTCTTTCTTCTTAGTGATGTTTCGAAGATTTAGATGTAGGACGTTCTTTTCAAGGAACCTCAAAAAATTATATTCAACTGAACGACTATCAGTTCTCCTCTGCTATGTCCCATTAAATACAGGATACTGAGAGCAAGACACAAAAAGACACGTTGTATTTTATCAGTGATCCTACTGTTGACCCATCGATCATCTGTTCGATCTGTAACGCCTCTCTTCTGACTTCTATGCTGCAACTAATAAGAAAAAGACCAGCGAAAAGTTTGTCTATCATTCATTTTTTACCCGAGATCATAAACTTCAAACCCCACAGTTCATACACAGTTTTCACTATTACAAACGTTCAGACAATATAACTACAAGCCTACAATATCCAACCTGTTTAGATTTCTTATTCCTGAGGAAACGTTTCGGTTAATCTAGAGTATACGAATCAGGGAGACTTGTTAGATGGTTCTGATATGAGTCCTAAGTAACAATGCGAAAACACTTCAGATGTTTTACCAATACAGTCAGGGTTTGGGAACCATTGGAGTTTGTTTATTCATACCGAAATTGGAAGTTGGAATCGTTCATCAGTTTAATCGGGTAGTACGCCTCGCCCCTGGCTTATGCTTAGCATGATTGAGGTAGAACAAGGCCAATTTTAGTCAAAAGTAACAATGCTGTTCAATAATAATAAAAACATGAAGACCTAATGAAGCTTATTATTTCCTGAGCAGCTGTGACTCAAGGCGACTCACAAAACACCCTGAACTCCAAGTTTTATAAACTAAAGAATAAGTTGTAGAAACCTATTCTGAGGTTCGATATTAACATTATTTTCATTCTATTACATACTAAACAGATAAAAGGAGAAAACTATAGAAGCAGGAAACTTAATGTTCAAAGCTGACTATTTCGAAGTACATTCACATCCACAACTAAAGTAAGCTAACTCAGATGACCTGTGCGGAATGGTTGAGAATTTACTCGGGTTAGACGGTATTTGTGTGGCCAACCAGCTAATGTCGAAGTCACACTTCGCGGTTAGCACATAGAGTGGATTACACCTTCATTGTATCCGGGCTCGATATCTGCTTCAGTGACTATGTAGCATAAACGACGTTACTCTAGAAACATATTCATAAGAACGGGTACAAAGAACAGAATGAGACTGTGGTATATGCTACTTATGTCGACAAACATTTAGTGTGTATATTTATGGTCTAGTTCAGTATGAGTACATTTATCTTCGTTACCATAATATATATAATCCAGAAATTTTAGATTTGTCATGATGTGATCACCTAACTTATACGACACTACGTGAGTCACATCGTTGTCCATACTAACTCATACTATTGTGATCTTCATCAATATAATGTTTAGCGCTTCTAAAGGACACATTTGGGGTGGAGATAGAATAATAAATTCAACGTAAATAGGGATAAGTAACACAGAATGATCGCACCTGTAATACTGAGCCATGCTAAAACCGATGAATTGTTCCTGCTTTCACCACTTTTAATCTAATCTAAGAGTTACATGTTGAATGCAAGTTTCATTAAATGTATGTTCAGCTTCAAAGATCCTGTGGTTAAAAACCAATACCACCACAAGCGGTTACTGAGAGCTGATGGATAATCTAAGTGTTATAGGTCCTTTCCAAAAAGAGCTCAACCAATGGTTTTGACTTTTAATCTGCTTCTGCGACCAAGAAACGGCTGCTGACATAAAATAGGAGGACATCCTGGTGAAATTTCGCATTGTAACGGCCAAATTCAAATCTCAACTCTTTCAAACCTACTAGATTCAGCAACCATTCTTACTGAAAGTCTCGTCAACCGATTTAGTTAAAAGTCCCTTTTATATGGCACGACATAAGAATTTTTGAGATCCCAGAAATCTCAGTCTCCGAGTGTGAAATTTCATAAAATGATGTTTCACGGTTAGGGATATCCTAAAATGTAATTCAGATAATAAGCACAATTACTCTGTTTTCTGATCAGTCCACTATAAAGCTGAGTAGAATTGTTTGGCTGGCTGACTCATATAATATTATGGTGAATCTGTACTCTTCAGTGACTCCGCTTATCATGTTACCGAACGTGCCGGTGACAAAATTATATTCGCTTCTTCTCAAAGGTTATTTCTGATGTTGGTGGGTGTTATGAACTATGTTCAGAGGTCAACCTTCGGAAGTATACTTTTAGTATGATAAATAATTTAGCCGGGGTTCACAGCGATGTGTAAATCTACAATTTTCTGCTCTTGATAAACGTATTTGTGCACTGACAGTACGAGTTCAGCAAGTGTAGTGAATGCACGTCTTTGATTTGATAAGGCAAGGAACCACCATGTGGTTATTCACTTAATGTTAATAAACCGTTGTAAATTGAAACAACTGTTTTATTTTGCACCAAATTAAACTACAGCTTCATTAAGGAATTTTCTAGTGAGGTTCTGAAAGGTTCTTCTTACGTATAGTAAAGGCTTTCCTCATAAAGTATCTTGTAAAATACTATTTATTGATGACAATGAAAAACTTTGCAGTTGTGTTCACAGTCAGCTGTATAGATTATGACTTCTGAGAGATGTTCTCGGGCCTCAAGGCTCGACAAATAATAATGGATTAGCTTTCGACACACTTGCACGGTAAAATATTTACCCTAAATCAAAATGCGAGCAGATCATATAGCTAAAATAATCCTCTACCACAAATGCTGTTGATGGGAAAAACTTCGTATGTCTTTTTCCCTTATAATAAACAATCGTATTCTAACAGTGACAGAAATTACTCAGACTGACAAATTCGATATACTTTTTTTGTCAGTTTGATAGTCGGAATGTTTGCAAAAGGATGTTTACCTAGGGATGAACTCATAATCATCTGTAGTATTACAAACATAGGGGTAGCTTATCCATGTGGATAAACGACTACCTGGTCGGGCGTCAACAAAGGATACATGTTAATTCGAAGTTGTCTAGCTAAAAAACTGGACTTACTGAAGTGCCCTGGGGCACAGCCTTGGGTTCAGTGTTATATTCTTTGAGTGTAAATAACCTTAATCCCCTAGCACAATCGATTCCGTTATATGCAGACGATATGGGGACATGTAGAGCAGTAAAGAATGAAAATGATTGTTTAGGACTTCAAAACAACCAAGAGGAATTATCTAGATAGTCTTGAGTTCAGAAGTTTCTGATTGATGAGTCTCATGACTGACTCGCTAAAATCGTCTTGCTAGCTGTTTTTTACATTTTTAATTACCTCTGAATACCAACAGAAACACTAGAGAAGATACTCCAGATGTGATTAAGAGCTTTACTCCAAGACTAGTTATTATGCAGAAAAACGCAGATATTTATGGTATTGCACCTGCCCTTGTGCTTCTTTAAGTTTCTGGAACCATACTAAACACAGTAGCAGCATAGCTAACTATCCGATCCAAACAGTGACATTTTATTCTGTGTTTGCCAGAAGTTTCCGCAAGGTTCTATTCAGTGCTAATTAGGTGAAAAGTTTCTTCGGCACTTTTTTACTCTATGGACTTAAAGAGGGATATTTTTGGGACTGCCTTATAGTGATACTGGTCTCTAACTACATAATTCTCGAAGGTGAACATATAATTACTGAGAAAATTCATATCCAACAACTAACAGGGAGATAAGGTCAGCAACGGTAAACGTCGTAACAATTATATTAGGTATCGCTCAACCATAAAGGTGTGGTCACCCTGTTTATAGCCCACTGTATTTCGTATGAAAAATATTACTTTCTATTCAGTCTAAATTTCTTCTTCAGAAGCGATAGACGTCACATTGCTGACATCTTGAAAGAACGAGGAAGTATAGACGATGGATGAATTTACACGTACAATTTTTTAGATTAGGTAGTCACATCATGACAAATCTGCAATTTTGAGATTAGGTCTATTATTGTTGTCGTACTAGTAATGAACTAGACAACGGGACGTGGTTACGAAAGATCTGGGTAGGAGTTATAATGAAAAACAGGTTAGTGTTTTTTTATGGTTTTTCCTGGTTAGCGTTTTTTTAGCGAGTTAGTTTTCTACGGGATGGGGTCGCTAACCCCATGCCCAACCCTTCTCCTTTATCCGGGATTAGGACCTGCAGTAGCCCCCGAAGGGACTCCAGGCGGGGTTATAAAAA